TGCCCAGGATCACTGAGCTAGAGAGTGTCTGAGGCAGAATTCGAACTCAGGTCTTCCTGACTCTAAAGCCTGCTTTCTATCCATTGATTTATACATAGCTTATACTCATTAATATCTTATCAAGTTGACAGAATAAGCTTATGGGACATTTGGTAACAATGTCCTCTTTGTTGCTTATCTATTTTTTGGTGACAGTACCATCTATGGAATATATTTTTTTTATTCTTTTAGAACTTACCCTGATTGAAAGCTAATTTCAAAAAGGAAACAAACAAAATGGGAGGCAGAATGGTGCAGAAGGTAGAAGGCTGACTTTGAAGTCAGGAAGACTTGAGTTCAAGCCCTATCTCCATTATATAGTAGTGGGATGAGCCTGGCCAAGCATCTCCACTTTTCAGTGCCCCAGGCAGGCTCTAATACTCCAACTTACCAATGAGAGGTAGCTCTGCTTTGGTGGAGGGAGTTTTCATACTGTGAGTTCTCTATACCCATGAAATCACAGGTCAAGACCAACTTTCACCTGCCCTCCACCTGCCCAAAAACAACAGATCTTTGAGAATCTTTAAAATTGGGTCAGCTCCAATGCAGATTTCCTTTCACTGAATTTTGCTGGGTCCAGCGCCCTTCATAATTTTATCTTCTTGAATATATTTCTTAACTTATACCACATTGATTCCTAATGTATTAAGACCAAATGTGATGTATCTACTCTCAATGATTATGGATATAGATATAGATATAGATCACTATGGATATGAACTAGAAGATCTACACATTTTATACCTTTTTGTGATTTTTTTAAAGGTACAATTCGAAAGCAGCTCAAATAAAAGAATTACGTGGAAATCATGATAAACCAGAAAGTCAGCTGGAATATCATTGTTCCTAAGTGATTTGAAAGTATGATGTGAATTTTGAGTGACCCTCAATCAGAGACCCCTCGTCAGGGTAATGCTTTTTTTTTTTTTTAATGGCAGCCAACATTTTAAAACTACAGTGTTTTTGAGATCTATCATGCTAGTGCTAAAAAGTTCTGGCATATACTGAAGGTCAATGCTATATACAGAAATGAACAATGGTTCTCCAGCTTTTTGAAACTAAAAAAAATTCAAGGGAAAAAAAAAGTCTGATAAAAATTATGTGATAAGATCCAGCAGCTAATTCTGGCTTCATGTGCCAACCGCAGCTTTGACCAATTTGCAATGTCAGTCAATATTTTATGAAGCTTACCACTCCCTCTTTCACTGGGTCTAGGAAATACTGTCAACCCAGATGCAGGTTAGTTATATCCCATCAAATTCAATAGTCTTCTTAACTATCACTCTTCTTCATTTCTTGTTTTTCTCTTTCCTCTATATTTTGCAGCTTTTAGCTGACTTTCACTTCTCAACTTAGACTTTAATGCCCTTTGCGTAAGTCATATTTATGCTTCAAGGAGACTTTCCAGGCCACTTCTTCATATGCCTTGTAATATATACCTACATCCACATTTATGGATGCCATATGCTTGTACCACTTCCAGAACTATTTCAAAGTTTCCTTATGTGTAAAATTTAATAAAAAGGATTTGGGGAGTGTTTTATTCTTTCAGGAAAAAAAAAGGAAAAAAGACAAGTATCAAATTGAATGGAATTAAGTAGTTCTGAAAGTAAGTGGATTGAGGAGGTCACTTCTCACCAGGGGTCAGGGTCAACAATAGCAGATAGCAATGACAGCTTTTGCTCCAATTAACCATCAACTTTCCTGCCTTAATCTCAGACTGAAGGGACCACCTCCAAATGCAAGAAGGTAATTTGGTCTTAATTGTGTTTTATCCTTAACATTTAATCTGCAACCAAATTGCTTTTAACCATACTGATTAATCCCAATTGTGACAGCTAGAACAAGATAGTTAGTGGGGAGAGCAGAGAGAACACAGACTGGTTGTAATGTTTCCTGAATTATAGGAAATCAGTTGAAATCAAATATGGCAGTAATATACTCATGTAAAGGTCTACTGTTAAGGACTATAACTTGTCATATATAGGTGAGTCACAGAGATACTTAATAGTAACGAGAACAAGAACTTATCTATCCACAGAATTGGAGTCAGAAGGGACTTCAGCAACTATCTAATACCCAACTACACTTGAAAAAGTACTTCTACTACAATATACCCAAAGAGCAATCACCCAATCTTTGCTTAAAGACTGCCAATGAAGGAATGGCCACAGCTTCTGTAGAGAGACTATGAAGAGCTAAGATTCAACAAAAAAGGCTACACCTACATGAACTCAACCAATAAATAATATGTATTAAAGCACCAAAAATGTCTGTTATTCAGATTTGTTTAGAGGGATGGAGGGGGATCAACTCCTTGCCACCAGAAATTATAGAAAGGTAATCCTTATAGAGCTCAGGTGGAATGGAATATTGATCAGTATAGATTTATGCAGCAAAGTGGTTGAGAAACTGTACAACATATCCTTTCAGGTTGTAAAAATAGTAGACTACACAGGATACTTTTTAGGACATGATAAGTTGGCTAGGATTACACATCAGAAACCAGTTACCCTTTATAAGCTGGCAACAAATTTCCATACTACATTCAAGCCCTGAAATATCTTTGATAATTCAACAAATAAACTGTATTCAAAATGAAACAGCATTAGAAACACATCACATCTTCCCTGATATGACACTGACTCGCAAAAATTTTAAAAATATTCTTAATAGATATCACATACTGAATACTCATAATCCTCAAGCAACATGTAATAAACATCTTTCAAAGTACAGACGCCTGGCAGAAGAAATCAAACCCAAGTGGGAACAGGACAAGATACATGTGAGGATCGCTGTCATCCTGTCTGTCCCTGAAGTTGTCAGAAAGATGGTTTCAGTGAGTCTACAAAAGATGACCTTACATCCCCTTACATCTTGTTCAGTCATTTCAGTTGGGTCTGTTTCTTTGTGACCCCATTTGGAGTTTTCCTGGCAAAGATACTGGAGTGGTTTGCCATTTCCTTCTTCAGCTCATTTTACGGATGAAGAACTGAGGTAAACAGGGTTAAATGACTTGCTCAGGGTCATATGGCTAGTAAGTGTCTGAGGCCAGATTTGAACTCAGGAAGAGATCTTCCTGACTCCAGGCCAGGCACCACCTAGATGCCTTCTCAATCCTCTTATTCAGTTACAAAAAAACAAAAACAAAAAACAATTATTTTATCCACTGTACAAGAGTCAGCAGAACATTCAACTTAAAAGAATATTAGGATAGTCACTTGTTCTTACAGTGTCTATTTGAACCCCATCAAAAAAAAGATGAGAAAAATTGTTTTTAGTGTGTCCACAGAGGAGGAGTTTGTATCCCAAACCTTTCATTCAATTACAAAAATCAATTACTTCATCTACCTGAGCAATAGCACGTCAAATACGAAACACAAAGGCATAGTAGTAGAATAGTAACTTGCCTGAGGATCATTTCTACTTGAACTCCAACAAATATAAAGATGAAAAGAATGAAAGAATGATAACAACATTATCAACAATAGGATAGGGACTGAACTCTTGGATGAGTTAAAGCCAGGAAAAGCTGGCTTCCAGTCTTACTTCTGCTACATACTGGCTGTGGGACTCTGGACAAGTCTCTTGGTGCTCCAAATTTTGTGAAATGACAACATCTTATACCCTCATCCAAATCCTCATGAAGCTGCCAACACTAACTCCCCAGGGAGATATCTTGGATAAGTATCTGGAACCCTGTGGGATAGGCTATATATACATATACATACATACATACATATATATGTATATATTATATATATATATATATATATATATATATGTATGTTTCTTTGTATTAGTAGCCCTTAACATAGTGCCTGGCACATAGCACTTTATAAAAAAAGCTTGTTGCTTGCTTACTTAATTCGTTAATAACAAAAGAGAAAGCCTCTAGTGAAAAGAGATTTTAAGTTATTTAATTTCATATTTTCCTGATATGTCACACAGGTTGATAAGGATGGAACAGAGAGCATCCTGGGGAAAATATCAGAAATGGCAAATATGGATGTGTTTCTAGGCAGAAAAAAAAATGGAACACGAAAACACAAAATTGGGCTTTACAGGCATATTCGATTAAACTCAACAAACATTTATGTGAAAGGCACTGTACCACCTTTTGGAAAGAAACAAGATTACCCTAAACAATGGAAGATGTGCCGCTGAGTACAGCCAGTCAGGAAAGCTTGCTGAAAAGGCCTTGTCTCATCTCTGATATGAAAACGGGGTAGTAGGTTGCTTTTTTTGTTTTTGTTTTTTTTCTTTTTTAAATTTTGATGAAGCAGGCAGTAGGATGGAGTGGGGGGTGGGGGAGGGTGGCTAGGGTCCAGATATCTATTTCATTTGTGAAGGAACTCCTGGGGAGGAAGCACTCTTTTTGTCAATAATGATCTTCAACTGTTGAGCAACTTGAAAGTCTTAGATAGCTTGGGAGTGGGGGAAGAATTGAAAGGTTAAATGACTCACATGCCAGTATGTGTCAAAGCATATACTTAAACCCACATCTTTTCTAACTCTGAGGAAGGCTCTCTATCCACTCTATCACATGGCAGTCCTAAAGCAGGGCAATGTATTTCCAGCATTATTGTGGAGGAAAAAAAGTGTTGGTGGCAATGCTTTGAGGGATATGCTGATTTCCGTCTTTCAGGTTCTGGCGGTCAAGAAATAGCTGGAAGTTAAAGGTGCCCTAGATTTGTATAAGTTTCTATAGCTAATTCAACATTTTATATTTCTATTTTTAATTTGCTTCAAACTAGGTTTCTTTTTCTATATATACATTTTTTAAAATGACTGACATCTTGGTTCATGCTTTGCTAGACATAAACTTATGGATCAAGTCCTAATGTAAATGAAAGTGAGAACTTATCAATGAACCCAAAAGACTTGTGCAACAAATGCATTTAAGCAGCTTTTCCATAAATGCAGAGCACATAAAAAATATAGGACCAAATACTCACCAGTTTCACAGTTTTCAGTTATAGTTGATGTATATAATTGCTGACTAAAGGAAAACCTTGCATCTTTTTCCTGCATGTGGATGAACAAAAGACCAGTGGCTGTCCTGGTTGGGATCCCCTGATCCATAACCTTTACCTGTAGCAACACAGGGAAGTGTTCTGAGGACAGTTGTTTCTGAAGTCGAACCTCTCCTGAGTGATCATCAATATGAAACAAAGACTGGGTCTCAACAAAACGAAAAACCACAGCTCCATTGAGCCCCAGGTCTGAGTCGTAGCTAATCAATGTGGCGATGGTCTGGTTCACTGACATTTGTGAAGAGACAAAAACATCCAAAGGGTTCTGTCCAAAGACAGGACTGTTGTCATTGACATCATCTACATTTACTGTCACATCAACTGTGGTTCTCCTTGGACTCTGGACACTCCGATCACTGGCCACAACCCTAAACACGTACTGGGACCTTGTCTCCCGGTCAAGGCCTTGGGCAAGTTTCAATGTGCCTGCCATTCTGTCAATGGTAAAGATACCCAGAGCATCATTGGTAAGGAAGTACTCAACCTGCCCATTTAGGCCACTGTCTTCATCCGCTGCAGAGAGCTTTAAGATCACTGACCCCACTTCAAGATCTTCTTTCACAGAAGCTTGGTAGTGGGATGTAGGGAAGGTAGGGCTGTGGTCATTATCATCCCAGATGATCACTTTTAACTCCATTATGGAGCTTCTACCTGGGCTACCCAGATCAGAACATTCAATAATGAGGGTGAAATTGCTGATGTGCTCCCTGTCTAGGCTACACGCTGTCGAGAGCTCTCCTGAAGTTTCATTAATGGTGAAGTGCTGCTCAGTATTTCCTCCTATAAAAGTGAAAGGAATGCAAAGGTGAGAGTATACCAAATGACAAATATCCTAAGGAAAAATGGCTTTCCTAGTACTCCAATCAAAATGAAAAGTAGTTATTAATAATCTTATAATAATGTTCATGAAATTAATTTAATTTTAATTATTAATTTATTTCTCAATTATTAATATTTAATTAATTAACAAAATTAAATAAATTTTAATTTAATTAATTTTAAATATCACAGTCTAGTGTTTTAATACAATTTTTTTTCCTTTTGTAATGAAAATCTGAGCGATGGAGAGCAGGGATGGCATATACCTCAAGTTATAGAACCATTATTTTAACAAATAAACATCATAGGAAATGTTCGGTTTTTAAATCAATAAATTTTATTTTAACTTTACCATTAGAATAAGTGATACTTTGTCCTCCTTGCTAAGAAATTAATAAAAAAGAAGCAAATAGTGTTGCCTTGTTTTCCCTTCATTGTTTTCTAATTATATCAATACCATGGAGGCAAGTCAGAGAAAAAATAAGATAGAGCTTTTATCTTGATCTGCACTTGTGATTAACTGGTGTAGGGGATTCCTTGTATGGAAAAACTCTCTGATGAACATTAGTAATCCATCTGTAATTAATATAGTTTTAGAGAGTTGTATGGACCCTGGGAGATTCAATAACCTTGCTTAATGTCAAATAGTTACTATGTGTCAGAGGCAGGATTTGAATCCAACTTATCCTTGTCTCCAGCTTTTCAACCAGACCACACTGGTTCTCCAAGGTGGGACACCAAGGCATAATGTTTTTGGGTAAGTTCAAAAACATAAATGTTCCTATTAATTAGTAGGAAGTTAACTAGCCTACTGTCCACATTTTGGAATGGTGGAGACTGGGAAGAACTATCAAGTCAGAGGGCATAAAACGTAAATTCAAGAGACATATTGGAGTTAGTGTGCTGGAGTGGCACTAACTAGAACAGTAGCAGACAAGGGCAGAGGAGAACTAAGGGAATATGTGGGGAGGAGATATCTTATTTCAAAGGTAGGAGTCATTGGCTAAACCTACACTTCTGGAATAGTTGAGGATCCAGAGGACATCCTTAATGTTCAAGTCACTAGATCCAAGGTTTAAGAAATCTAGGTCAAGGGGCAAGTTAACAAGAAATAATGAGCAGGAGGATTTAAGAAAAACCTGGAAAAACTTACATGAACTGATGCAAAGTGAAGTGAGCAGAACCAGGAGAACACTGTTGAAAGCAACATTGTACTTAGCTATTCCCAGCAATACAATGATCCAAGACAATTCCAAAGATCTCAAGAGGGAAAATGCTATTTGCATCCAGAGAAAGAATTGATTGAGTCTGAATGCAGATCGAAGCATAGTATTTTCACTTTTTTTTAATTTTTTTGTGTTTTTTTTCCTTTTAGTATGTTTCTTCTTTCACAACATGACTAATATGGAAATATGTTTTATATGATTGCACATGGATAACCTATATCAAATTGCTTACTGTCTTAGGGAGAGGGAAGATAGGGAGGGAGGGAGAAAATTTGGAACTCAAAAATTTTTAATGAACATTAACATTTGTCTTTACATTTAATTAGAAATAATAAAATATTATAAAAAAGAGAAAGCAAGGAGTATTTTTGTTTTTCCCTGCACCTCCAGCTCTTAGTGTCTGGCACATAGTAACTACTAAATAAATGTTTGTTGATTGACAAAAAACAATTGCATCTGTTGTTTAAAAACCTCTCAAAATATGAATGACAAGAATTTTATAAGGTAGATAGAGGGGAAATATTTTTCAAGATCATCTCCCCTAATTACGCCAATTATTATACCTTATTATCCATTATTGAGAGATATAAGATACCTCCTGGCCAAAGTAAGAAGTGGGATGTCACAAAACAGGTCATAGGTTTGGAGTAGCAAAAGATCTTAGACAGTAAAATAACCAACCCCTTCACAACACAGATGATGTTAATTGACATCCCAGGATGTTAATTGACTTGCCCAAAGTCACACCAGCTAGTAAGTGGCTGAGCTAGGATTTGAACTCAGGCCCTTTTTAAATTCCAAATTCACCAATAATTCTACTGCACTAAGGGCATAACAAATGTCAATAATCCCATTAGAGCTGTGGAGATTAGATTGTCTTGGCATGTTACTAGGGTAACTGTGGAACATAATAATAAAGAAGATAATTAAGGAACTATCAGCAAAAGCTGTAATTTAAAAAGAAAAGGAACAAAAAAGAGGGTTATTCAAATGTAAGAAGGCAGAACTCCCAGCTCTACCCCCAACTAGCTATATGAGCTTCTCTGGGTCTCAACTGTTTCAGCTGGAAAATAAGGTGCCTAGACTACATTATCTCTAAGGTCCCTGACACGTCTAATACTGATCGAAAATCTACATAAGTCCATGAATATTTATTAGTTGAACATTGAAAAAAAATTAAAGAAAGCGGGTGGATTTTATTAAGGAAACCTTGGCTTGGTCACAGAATTTCTAGAAGGCAGGTAATTATCAATTATAGGTTCTGCTCCCTCTAGTTAGTCTCAAACCCAACTTCAGATTATGTCATTATAATGCCATTGTAAGACTTTTTTGTCCCACCCAAAAGGGGGGTCTCTATCTACTACAAACGGTATTTTCTAGATGCTAAGTATCAACTCTTTACCCTACATGTTTTGCTGAATAATTGAGAGTGAGAACTGCAATGAAAAGAAACAGCATTCAGAAACTTACAAATGTTACCTATTGCTAACTCCACATTAATTCAGTCAGAAGCCCTTATCTCAGTCCCAAAGATGGCACAATGAATAGAGCACTAGACTTGGAGTCAGCAAGACCAGAATTCAATTCTGGCCTGAGACACTTAGTAGCTATTAAGTGTGACCTGGGGTAAGTCACAACTTCTCTGCACTTCTGTTTTCTCCATCAAATGGGATAATCGTAAAAAGTGCTTAGCACAATATCTGTCACATAGTAGGTACTATATAAGTGTTATTCTCTTCCTTCCCAAAAGCCAAAATTATTTTACAAGTAACAACTCCTTAAGACTATAGCACGTGGTAACGGTTGTGCAAGTCTGTGTTGAAAACCGGTGTAGCATATTAATTGCCAGTTCTAGGAATCCATACCTCTGAGTTCCTTCTTGAGGAGGACCTGAACCAAGGAAGACTTAGCCACTCAAAATAATAAAACAATGGAGCATATGGGAAAAAAAACCTGGAAAAATAACTATCCCATCAGTATTTTTAAGGCAGTTTAGTTAAATGTCCTGGAAAAGTGGGAGACCAATTTCAAAGTAGGAAGGGGGAAAAATGCTAAAGCCAAGAGAGCTAAAACTGGAATGTGATGGTGAACATTTTGTGACAACTTCATTATCTTACAGACTCCAAGAGGAATCATTACAAGTCATTGGCACGGCGTCTATCTTGGGGTATATTCTGCCAAAGTCCACCACTTACCAATTATATGATACCGCACAGCTCCATTGTTGCCAGTATCCAGGTCTGTAGCTAAAACAGTATAGATGACCTCTGGCTCTTGGTTCTCTGGAATCTGGATTTCAGGGTTGGGGATAATAAACTTGGGAGCATGGTCATTTTCATCTTTCACATTGCAGAGAATAGTCATGGTACTGGATAATGGAGGGACTCCCTGGTCTTTCACCAGTACTGGGAGGAGATAGAGAAAGGAAAGTTTCACATTAGTGAGCTGTGGGTTTTAACTGAGACCTTCCCTGTGCTCTTGACAAATTATGAGGGAAAAGAAAAATGAGAGGTCAGGCAATCCTTGTCAGAATGTATTGATGAAACTGTCTAAACTTGACTGTCCTTGGTATAACATTTGATGATGAACCAAAGGGTATGGCAGGTATACTGAATCATTCAACAACCGTCTTGAGAAGAAATAAAGTGACACCCATAATAAGGTGGGAGAAGGGGGTAAATAACAAAACTACTGAATTAAACACCCATAACTGACTGCATATTTCAGGAATTTGGACATGTTACCTCTAAGAGTGAAGATCTCCTGAGTCTCTCTATCAAGTGTAGCTGCTGTTACCACCTCTCCAGTGCTGGAATTGATCTTGAAAAGCCCAGATATGGCAGTTGGCATGATTTCAAATTGCAGTTGGGAGTTGATTCCTTAAAGAATAATTTTGTTTGATTGGTTTCAGGAAGAAAAAGAAGGGAGAAAACCACCTAAGTTATCTCTTTGGAATTCATTAGTCTACTTCCCCATCCTTTTTCCCACAATCATTTGCTAGAAGATAGGTGCTGAAGAGAAAACAAACAAGAATTCTAGGCAACTTTTAAATAAGGTGAGAAAACTGTTAGTGTGGATCTTGCCAAAGAAAAGACTCATGGGATAAAATATTTGGTTTTTCAAAAGCCTCCTGAGATTTTCCCACAGTGAATGTTTAAGATTTTTTCCCTCTCATAAAAAATGTCTTATGAGTTTGCACTCTACAGTATATTCCTAATTACTCCATGGAACACCCCTGATTGTAATTTAATGAGACAATAGGAACCTTGCTGGGGAAGCCATGATTCTTCACGCTGTTACTGAACTTGGGTGCATGTGCTCAGTAACGACACCCTGTGTCCTCTAAAGAATCAGGAGATTCACACATAGCACCACTAATGTGTGTGTCTGTGCATACACACAATGCACTTAGTCTTCTGCCTCCCGTGTAGAGTAAGAAATCAGGTTCCACAGTCTTACCCATTACTGATCCAAAATAATTTTTCCCATATTTTTTGGTGGTTTCAGTACTCCCCTGAGAGGCGTATAACGTCATTTCCATCACTGGTTATAGAGTAAGATCATTCACACCATTAACTTTAATGAATTTAATCCTACATTTTACACAAAGGGTAGCAGGCATTCATCTCATACCACTGTATGAGTTTTATTTGCAGCTCGCACACGTTCCATTCAATTACTTTTCTGTGTTCCCCTCTTAACAAACAATCAGCCTTTAAGTGTGACCCAAGACTCATGCCATGCACCTGGAACTGATGTTAGACCTTAATCAAAGGCTGGAAGAACTTGGGGGGAGGGGAAGGGGTAGACCTTCTCAATAAAATTTTAATTGCAAATCTCCACCTCATCTGTGGTAAATCATCTTTATTCAATCCATCATATTCTAAAATAAAGCTTGAGCCCACTATAGTCAAACATATAGAACAATTGTCTTGGAGTTGGAAAGTATGGGTTCTAATCCCAGGTTTTTCATTGCAGACTTTTGAAGAAAAAACAGAAATCATATGTCACACACACACACACAAATATATATACATACATACATACATATATACATACATATATACATATAATATGTACTATTATACCTTAGAGAGACATGATGAGTAATGAAATAAGTAATAATAGTGGATTACATTTCTAAAAGAGTTTAAGTGTTTGATTTTCAAAACAAGCATGTAAAGTAAGCAATAATGAGAGGCAGTATAACATAGAAGAGAAGGAGTTGGTTTTTTTAGAGTCAGAAGACTCTAAAAAATTCAAGTCTCACTCTGATATTTACTTAATCATGTTCCATGAATAAGTCACTTAGGATCATAGATTTAGAACTGAAAGGGTCCTTAGGCTTAATCTAACCCCCTTATTTTGCAGATGAGATCACTGAGGTACCAAGAGGCTAAAGGTAATCACATGGGTAATTAGAAGGAAATGTCAGTCAATAAACATTTATTAAACACTTACTGTGTGTTAGGAGCTGTGCCAAGCATTGAGTATACAAATATAAAAATAAAAAACAATGCTTACCCTCAAGGAGATTACAAATTAATGGGAGAAGACAAAACACAAAAGGAAGCTAAAAAGAAAGGAAGGGAGCATCCAGTGTCATGTACCCAATGCAGTCAGGCAGGAAATGAGGAGATGGCTGATCTTAGCACCCCCCTTAAAATGCAAGTTTGGGGAGAAGCTCTTTGCTTTGCCCTCCAATCAAATGTGAATTGTTCATTTCATTATTCCCATTTTAAAGCTGAGAAAAATGAGGCTCAGTTGAGTTACTTGCCCAACATACATAATTAGGTGGAAGACAATGAACCCAAAAACTAGGATTTTCTGACTCCAGGACCACTTTACATAATGGTATCACCAATTGTCTGGATTTTTGTCTTGCCACTGGACTTTGATGACTCTGAAAGACTGTGTGCAACTCTGCCTTACTTAGATCCAATTCACACACATGAGTCAAGACATGACCTTTGATGTCATTGATCCATATTCAGAAAGGAAAGACAAGTATAGGGTAGCTATAGTGCCCTACACAAAGTGCTCTGATTATAGAAGTACAAAGTGGGAGCATTGGTACAACTTCTGGGAACATCCTCCATCTGTCATATTGGTGGTGCTGGTGCTAGCAACAGCAGAATTAGTATTGAGAGCTGACATTTACATAGCTTTAACTTCTATCATGCTTTATAAAGTGCTTCACACAAATGACCCCACTTGTTCCTCACAAGAATTTGGTAAGGCAGATACTCTGGAGAAGCCAGAGCTGAAAGAGACTGTGACAAATGCATGATTTCATAGGTACTGACAGGGCTGAGGCTTAAACCTAGGTTTCTCCTGACTCCAAGACTCCTGTTCATTTCCTTGACATTGGTAAGAAATAATTTAACCACATATAAGGTACATCTAGAGTTCCTAAGGGGGAAAAATGTTTTCCATTTCACCATTTGACATTATCGCCTTTGGGGATGGGAGGAAGGAAAAGGCAGTGTGGGAGTTCTAGATCTGTTAATTCATTAGTAAAAGAAATTCTTTACTATTGCAGATGCTATCTTTTGTTTTTATATCACCTTAATTTCTCATTATACCTCCCCTCACCCACACATACATACACATACATACCCCAGAATAATCCCTTATAACAAAGAATCAAAAAGAGAGGAAAAAACAGTTTATCAGAACTAACAAATTCAGCCAAACTAATATAAACCAAGTCTGGCATCATATGCATAGCAGTTTTTAATAGACTCAAATACTCATTCTTTCCTATTCTGTTTTTATCTCTACTTTTCTATAACATGCTTACCCTAGAAGAGCCTTTTTTAAATAGCAAGGAACAGAAAATAGGTTCCAAGATGTTAACTTAAAAAACACATACAAAAGAACAAACTTCACATCCTCATCAATACTTCAGACCTCTCGTCTTTCAGGATTTCCAAGTCAGTTACCCATCCTCCAAACCATACATACATTACAAAGCCAAAAAATAGATTTATCAACCATCCTCTCCTCCTAAATAATCTCTTCTCTCTATGTTTTTGTTATACTTTTCTCTTTGTCCTCCTACCTGTCCCTTCTTAGTCTACTTGGCTAGTTCATCATCCATGTCACACTTAATAATATATGGATGTATCCCAATACTCTGTCCTGTGCTATTTTACTCCACACTGTGTTGCTTGGTGATCTGTTCAGCTCCAATGGGTCCAATTATCATTCCTAATATAAATGTCTCCCACATCTATTTATGCATACATCATTTATCTATCTATCTATCTATCTATCTATCTATCTATCTATCTATCTAT